GAAACTGATCCCGTTTGTTTCCTGTTGCTTCATCACAGATGCCTGTAAAACAGATTAAACTGCGTTGCTTCATGTCGCCTCTGTAACTGACTGCTCAGATGATGAGTTTCTCTTTGAGCCGACTGATAATCTGACTTCATTTCTCCTCAGAGAGATTTCCTTATTCATCTAATCTGATCTCCGTTTCCTCGTCATCCTGACAGACAATATGTGAAGGCAATCAATAACAAATCCACAAACTCTTCTATGACTTGATCGTTATTAACTGTCCATCACATAAACTGGCTGTGCTTTTAAATAACCTTCATTAAGTGGATGCATGTCTGATATGTTGTCATAAATATTCCCATCCATGTAATGATGAATTATTTAAATATTCAATATGTCAGGAGTTAAAAACCATCTGTTCAACTTTAAATTGTTCAAGTTAGGAACCATTTATAAAGCATGAAGACTAAAACTGACACAGACGGCAGCATCAAGGTAATCTAAGGACGTGTAATTCTGTGTCTAATCTTAAATCTAATCCTGAAAATTTAATGGTTCACAACAAAGTTACATTTAACTAAATATGTAAAACATATGATTTGATTTCTGCATGTTAAAAACAGAGTGATGTTTGTTTTATAGTGTCATAAAATATGGATCATGTGCATCTTCTACTTTCCTGACTGTTAAAGCTGCAGTAACTTTTCCATGTTTATTAAAACAGCTGTGAACAAATCCATCTCCTCCAATTAAAATCAATTGCAAATAAAATTGAAAATTAAACAACAGATTTAACACGAATATTTTTTGTTGAGCTCATATGTCCATCTGTTCAATAAGTTAGGTTCAAAATGGGGTTTTGAATTGAAAATGTTGCTTGTTTTTGTCGGGTTTTTACATTAGAATCAGTTTAAATGTGAATAATTACTTACAGAACCTGCAGTTACCTGGAGTAACAGTTTGGACTGATAGAGCATATCAGGAAGAGTTGGCCTGAAAACATGGCGACCCCCAGAGTTCCCTCCAGATCTGCTCAAGCTGTTTGTGCTTTATAATGAGATGCCAACAAAGTGTGTTGTTCAGCAAATATCTGGCAGCTGGGTCTGTGTATCTTCCCGCCGCCGCCTGGGCAAACAACTGCTGGACTGACCAGCCGGATGCTCTCTGCTGGTGGTCAGCACTTTGGTATCTTCAGAGCTTTAATCCTCAACTTTGCGCTCTGTGTCCTGCACCTTTCTGACAGCAGCCAGAAGGCAGGCCGCCTGAAAAGAGCCGCTCAGATATGAAAATTTATGTCCACACTTGCATTTTAAAGGCTTTTTTCTCCCCTTTTCAGAAAAGTTTTCTGTCCACATAGAAAGTTGAAAGCTGTGTTGCATCATCTGGTGGAATGGGTCAGGCACAGAGGAGTGTTGGGTTTTCACAGGTCTTCACTGTCTGACTGCACCGTTCAGTTCAAACCGAGGAGCAGTTTCTGCCTCCGTTCTTTCAGATGAACAGCTGGTGGTTTTCACACTTTTCTGTCTGTTGTGTTTCAATAAATATGTCATTTTGCTCATCAGCTGTCACACATCAGAGATCTGGTTTTGGAGAAACATCAAATTTAGCTTCATGTTTTAAAATGAGCAGTTTTAAAAATGTTTTATTTCTCTGGTGCCAAGAGTTTAAATATCTGTCCGACAGACGTCTTTGCTTTGTGGGAAGGTTTGCTTTCATTCGTTTTTGCATAAATGAAGTTAAGCTCTGCTGATGATGATGATTTCACACCAGACTCTAAATCAGTGGAGTCCAAACTTTTTCTCCCTGGAGCCAAAACTGAAAAATTTAAAGTTTGTTTTGCACATTTCAGCAACAAGGCAGTTCAAAGTTCTTTACATCCGAAAAACACGAAAATAAAAACTCACAAACACAACATGCCGTCACCAGATGAGAAACCAGTAACAAACATCGAGTGCCGTCGTTAAAATCAACATTACTCATCAAATATGACCAATTTTCTACTTATTATGGTTCAGAGCAGCTCTAACAGTTTTTAGCTTAGATTTAAAGGAACTCAGTGTTTCGGCTGTTTTGTAGTTTTCTGGAAGTTTGTTCCAGATTTGTGGATGCTGAATGCTGCTTCTCCATGTTTGGTTCTGGATGCAGAACCAGAACTCCCAAATGTTCTGGAGGGTTGCCATGACGATGACAGGTCTGTAACGTATTATGGTGCCAAGCCTTCAGTGATTTATAAACTAACAGTATCTTAAAGTTTATTCTCTCGCTGTAGAACTGGGTGATGTGCTCTGACCTCTTGGTTTTAGTCAGAACTCCAGCAGCAGCGTTCTGGATCAGCTGGAGGATTTTCTACTCAGACCTGTGAAGACGCTGCTGCTGTAATCAATGCAACTAAAGATAAACGCCTGGAGGAGTTTTCTTCCTGGGACTTTAGTCTCTTGGAATCATTGTTGTTCTGCAAAATAGTTCAAGCTCATCAAAAGTCTTCAAATGTGGACAAAAATTTGGTTTTTACTTTGACTAGGCCATCAGTACAGCTAATTGCGTTTTGATTTAAACCTGTGGATAGTTTTGGAGGATTTTAAACATTATTACTTGGAATGTATTGTGACAATAACTGATGCCCCCAATGTACTTCTGATAGTAGAGTTGAAGACAGGAAAGATGAATTTAGCAACACCAGGTGTGCTGACAGAGAGTCTGACCTCATGCAGACGTTTGGTGATGCCGAGCGCCTCAGCTGGACCGAACGCAGCTCTAACTGCATAACGATCTCTTCTCAAGGACCAGAACATCAGCGCTAATGAATGGGCGGCTTTCTGTGTGTGTGGTCATGTTTGTGCGTGCGCCATGATTGACAGTTGGCTAGCCGTGTTTCCTTCAGCCAGGGCCTCCCTTTTCACTGAGTACTGTGTCAATGTGTGTGCCGCACACACATTGACACACACACACACACGCGCGCGCACGCTATGCTTTTGCAGACACACAAAGGGAGAAAAGCCCACTGTGGCTCCTCCATCAGGCAGCGCTGCAGAAAAAACACAAACAGACGCTGAAAATGTGTCGGCTCTCATGCATATGGAGGTGTTAGCATGCATGTGTAATATGCATTTGTGTGAACGTGCAAAATCACATGTGAATATTTAGTGTGTGTGTGTGTAACAGGCATTAGCATTCAGTGATGGTTGTGGCCTTTCTAAAAGCTCCCATGGTGCAGCGGGCCTTTCTCTCCGTTTTGCAGTTTTTGAAACATGCGATCCTGTTCTCCCTCCTCAGGTCAGAATTAAAATCCTGCTGCTGGTTCAGATTGATCAGATAAATCTGAGTTTTTCACTCAGAGCGCTGATCTTCTCTCTCTCATCTGGGTTTTGTTTTCTTCCTTTGGTTCAGTTTTTATTTAACTCCAAGCTGCTGTCTGGTTTCTGCTGCCATGCACTCCCTCATATGAACTTTGACCCTGGATGCTTGAAGGTGGATCTCATTCCTCCAAATAAAGCCCAGCAGTGCTGACTGTGTGGCGGTTTGGTGGAACCCGTGTAGGCAGCGGTCATTTCACTTTTTTATTTTGAAAATGGAAGAGTTTAAAAATATTTAATTCTGCTTTTTGAAAAGTGCAGCTTGCATGATGAATATTTTGGAGAGTAAATAAAGAATATTGAGTTTCCAGTTCTAAATGTCATTAATTAAAAACCTGCTTAGAAGAAACTGAAGGGACTTCGGTGAAAGATGATTAAGTTATAAAAAAAAAAAAAAACATTTCTCCATCACTGTAGGAGATGAAAACTTTTATCATGTGTCAAACTGGAGGCCCGGGGGCCAAACCCGGCCCGCTGGTGCCTTTATGTGGCCCTCAGCTGCTTAAATCTTATTTTATGATCAAATCTAAACAATTTTAATCTGTCTGATGCCAAATAACATTAAAACATAAACATGTTCAGTAGTTAGTTGTAGGATATTGAATACAGAAGCAGCTATTTATTAATATTTTAAGTTTTTTTTAATGGGTTTTGGGAACATTAAATAAATTGATGCAACCCAATATGAAAATGGGTTTAACAGAAATTGTGATTCTTTGAAGGAATTCTGTCACTTTTTACACATTTGGATGTAATTTTTATTTATTACTATTAGATCTTAAATCTGCTCACCTGACAGGTAAATATATGTAGATGTGTTGTTGGGTGGTTTTCTTTGGAGCAGGGCTGATGTTCTGGTTTTAAAAAGGATTTCTCTCTCCTCTGCTCATCTTTTCCTTCCTCCATTATTTGGGCCTTCATCCCCCCTTCCTCCTCCTCATCCTCCTCTTCCTGCTATTCATCTCTCCTCATCCCTTCACCTGCTGCCCTCCAGCCTCCATCCTGTGACAGACAGCGTGTCCTCACCTTGTAACGATCACAGACATCCAATATGTTTGGCTCGGGATCATCCGCCTGCGCGCGCATTGTACATCCGTTAAATGCTTTATTGATCAGCCTGCAGTTAATTACGGGTCGCATCAAACCGGAGGCCGCAGGATGCGCCGTGCAGGTGCGCATCCGGGCCTCAGCAGGTTGCTCCAGTCAGACTCATCTCCATGCATCAAACCCTGCATCACTCTGTCTGTTTTAATCCAGAGCAGACCTTTAATGTATTCTGGATTAAAGCCCCGGGCCCCTGCCCAGCCCCCCCCCCCCCTTTATTGTTAAACTCCATCTCAAATAGTTTTTGCACAAAACACAAAAAAGTAAATAATAATATTAATAATAATAATAATAATATGTGAAACTTGCAGCAGCAGGCACCTTTTCTAGCTTGTTCCCCCTTTTCATCCCGTGTCACTTTCTCTTTGACATCGCCGTTTACTTTGCAAAAAGAAAAAAAGGAGCGAAAAAAAATCTTTATCAAATCCCCATTCTGAGGCTTTCAATAAGGCAGGCCATTACCTCACTGGCGCTTTTGTTCGGCCTATACAAGAGAGAACAAAATGGTTATTCAGGAGGACGCTTTAGATTTTTATTGTGGGCTCGCTATTCACAAAGAGCACCGTTATTGTATTAAAAAGAACCATCTGTGGCAGAAACAATGGCTTCAAATTATCTGTGAATACCCAGTGAACAAAATATAAAGCTTTTTCCTGCTCATTATGTGGGCTAAGCTAGGGGGTGGAAGATAGGAGAGGCACAGACTTTGCTATAACTGACTTTTGTTGTTCTTGCTTGCATTCTTCTCCTTTTTAAATCGGCCCCCTTTTCACATTGTGTGTCGCCATAAACGGCTTTTCTTGTTGCAGAGACTCGCGGAGAGAAGACAAGCGGAGCTCCAGACAGAGAGCGGGGCTGCGCGGCTCCGCACGCCCCGCGAAGGCACCCCGGCGGTCGGATCCGAACCGCGCGGACTCCCGGGGGCTACGGAGGGGAGGCGACATGCGGGGCGGGACGCAGCCGGACCTGGAGCTGCTGCCGCCGGACTCATTTGGGCCGCGGCGACGGCTGAAGATTTCCGGGGAAGTTGAGCGAAACTGCGAGTTGTTTAATTTGTGCCAATCAAGAGGAGAGGAAGACAAGTCCCGAAGTGGCAGTAAGTTGAACTGCGATGGAGAGGAGAAGCCCCGAGCGAGAGGCTCTGCGTGTCCGTGTGCATGTAAGTGTGTGTTTCAGCTGGTGTGTGTGTGTGAGAGCGTGTGTGTGTGTTAAGCATGCAGTGTTGTGGAATGACACCGCATGGCTTTATGAACTTGACTCTCAGATGTTTTTCGCTTTGGACAGTTTAGAAAAATAACAAACATTATGGGGAATATTTTATATTTGACAATTTAACGACAGAATATTATTAAAAGCGATTAATATTAAATAATTCACATTTTCACCGAACTGGACTCATTTGTGCAACTTTTTTTCCCATTTGATTGGATTTCGCTTAACTGTGTTTTTTAATGATTAGTGTGAATAAATATTTGTTTTCGTCTTTTGCGTCGAACTATAATCTGTATAAAATTTAACTTATATTCATTTTAGCGCATATTGTGTTAAGCCTGAGTATAAATTCTAATAAATATCAAACGGTGGGTTTTTATTTGAATTTTCTGATCAGATCGAGTCGGACTGCTGCGTTTTGTTCTGCACGGCCCCTAGTGGCTGCAAATACATTATCATTTTATCTGCATCTTCTTTGACTCTTTCGTTATTAACAAATCCATTATCGTTTCATTTTGCTATTATTAATGTTTCTCTGTATTTTTGGCATGTGTGTATTTATATTTGGTCTGGTAAACTTGCACAATTTTTGGCGCAACAAGTTAAAAACTTAACCGGGGTCCTTCGCAACTTGAATTAGATTTCAGCTCCAGTGTGTTTTTACTCTCTCCTGCTCTTGTGCCTCCATCAAACCGTGTTTTTGGTGTCGCGCCGCTTGTTGTATATTTTTGCAGGATCCGTCCTGGATGGTGTGGCGGGGGGTCGCAGGGAGCCGCCCCGCTAGTTTCCCCCGGTTTTTGTCAAGCAGCGGCTTTAATTCGGGATGATTGTGGATGCAGGGGCCATTCCCGCGGTTGGCTGGGGGCCTTGCTTTCAGACAGCAGCAGGGCCCCGCTGTTCCTTTATTATCATAAGCAGATTAGAGGTAGCGGGGAACACACTCAGATGCAGATAGCAGCCGAGCGGCCCATTTCAACCTTGCATCATAATGGACCGAGCTGCATGTGTCGCCCCTCGCTGCCTATTAAGCACAAGGTGAATCTTATGTAAGGTGGCCGAGGCCGGCATAATGAGAGCGGGGAGGGGGGTCTGCCCTCCATTTATTATCAAATGACTAAAACAAAAATAATATGTCTTGATCTCTGTGCTTTTATGATTTAATCTGGATGCTCGTGTTTACATGAAATCATGTGTGATTGATTTAGCTTTGGTTTGCTGCTGCTGGTAGAATAAAAAAAGTTTCGCTTCTGGATGAACATTTTTTACGTATTTTATTTGTGCTGAACTGATCTGAGGAGCAGCAGTTGTTTGCAGTTTCAGTTTCGTCCACTAGGCGGCGCTTGTGTCACGCAGCACGGCGTGTTTCTGCGGGATGAAGCATCCAGCTTCTGAAAACTTTTACTCTGAATCCACTTACTGCTCTGATTACAACAGAACCAGCTGTTGGATTTTTTTATATATATATTTATTTAGTCCAAACTCACCAACATGTTTGTTGGAATTAGATTTGGAATAAATCCGCTTTATTTTGAATTATTCCTCATATTTTATTTCTCCTCCCTGCACACTGCCAGCAGCAGCACCAGAGGAAGTGGAAGTGGAGTTGGGTCTTTGTCCGGACAGATGTAGCGACAACATCCCAAACAAAAAAAGCGTTTATTTGTGCTGAGATGAGCCCGTCTGCCTTCTGTGTTGGCATTCAACTTGGCTAAACAAAAGAAGAAGAAGGAGAAGAAGAGGGGAGGGGGGCGTCTTGGATTACCTTTCCTCTTTTCAACACTAAAACCCGCCATGGCTTCTTCCATTCAGCGCTTTGAGTTAACTAACAAAGTTTATTTAAGTGTTGTTGTTTTATCAGGCCTGGAAATGAAAGGAATTAAAACCTTTAAAAAAATGAAACAACAGGAGTGACAGGAGCTACTAAAACAAATTGATCCTGACAAATTAATTGATTTATAACTTTTGGTTTAATCTTTACAATCTATCAGAGGATATTTTGTCTCATACATACAATCTCTGAATATCTTTTAAACTCCAAGTAAATAGGAAGTTTAAGACATTATTTAATTAGTTTTATTTTGTATATAAAAAGTCATGTTATACATACATAACCCCGGATAAAAAGTATTTTCAGAAGTGTGTAAAATAGTAAACATGTACTTTATATTGGATGTTGAGCCTGAGAGTGAGAGCGCTTCCTCTGCCGCTTCGGGGCATTTAGGCCCCGCCCATTATGCTAATTAAGGCTCTCATTGGCGCGTCGTGGAGAACGCGCGCTCTGATTGGCCAGGTCGAAGCCATTTATTCTCTGACAGCCCAGTCACATGAATGGTTGTCTATTAACTTGTCCAAAAACTATCTGGAGTTGTCAAGGCTCAGGCGGACAGAGCAGCGAAAAAGTGCAGATTGTTGATGCTTTTTCCACCAAGCGGGAGAAGTTTTTGTGGACACAACATCGCGGGGACCTTTTTGGGAAAAGCCTCTCTTGTCACACACACTCACACGCTGACTCTGTGACACACACTCACTCGGTGGGGAAAGGGAGAGAGAAGGGAGAGTGTGTGGAGACGCGACTTGATGCTTGTTTTTGTCCAGAGAAAAGTTGCAGAGAAGATCGACAGGTAACTTTTTCCCTCTCCTGCCTCCGTCTGCCTCCGGCTGCTGGAGTTTGTCCCCTTCCTCTTTTCGGCTCGGAAGCTCCAAACTGAAAGCTGTTCCTCATGTATAACATGATGGAGACTGAACTGAAGCCCCCAGCTCCCCAGACCAACACGGGGGGCACGGGCAACACCAACACCCCGGGGAACGGCCCGAACCAGAAAAACAGCCCGGAGCGGGTCAAGAGACCCATGAACGCGTTCATGGTGTGGTCCCGGGGCCAGAGGAGGAAGATGGCGCAAGAAAACCCCAAAATGCACAACTCCGAAATCAGCAAGAGGCTGGGCGCCGAGTGGAAACTTCTGTCGGAGAGCGAGAAGAGACCGTTCATCGACGAAGCCAAGCGGCTGAGGGCCCTGCACATGAAGGAGCATCCGGATTACAAATACCGGCCCCGGCGGAAAACCAAGACCCTCATGAAGAAGGACAAGTACACCCTGCCCGGCGGGCTGCTGGCCCCTGGAGGAAACGGGATGGGGACTGGGGTCGGCGTGGGAGTGGGGGCCGGACTGGGCGGTGGGGTGAACCAGCGGATGGACAGCTACGGGGCGCACATGAACGGCTGGACCAACGGCGGCTACGGGATGATGCAGGATCAGCTGAGCTACCAGCACCCGGGGCTGAACGCGCACAATCCGGGCCAGATGCAGTCCATGCACCGCTACGACATGAGCGCCCTGCAGTACAACTCCATGACGAGCTCCCAGAGCTACATGAACGGCTCCCCGACCTACTCCATGTCCTACTCCCAGCAGAGCACGCCGGGGATGACCGCGCTGGGCTCCATGGGGCCCTCCTCGGTGGTCAAGTCCGAGTCCAGCAGCTCCAGCCCGCCCGTCGTCACCTCTTCGTCCCACCGGGCCGCCCCGGGCTGCCAAAGCGGCGACCTGAGGGACATGATCAGCATGTACCTGCCGGGGGCCGAGGTGAGCGACCAGAGCGCCCAGAGCAGGTTACACATGTCCGGGCACTACCAGAGCACCGTGCCCGGGACGACGATCAACGGCACGCTGCCATTAACTCACATGTAAGAGACTCGGAACCCAGTAAGAGAAGAAGAAGAAGAAAAAACAACCCGAACTTTTATAAGAGAAACTCTGGACTACTTAACGTTGGACTATTTTTGTACAGAAAAATTTCGGGGTGGAAAAAGTTGTATAGAAGTCTCCAAGAAAAAGGAAACCACTCTTTTTTTTCTCTCTTTCATTTAATAAGGAAGCTCTAGAGGAACGGTAGGAGACCCCCTTCACCGCCGGTGAAGTTTGGAAATCTAGAAAGTGGGAGTCGCAATCAAATGTTTTATTATTGCAATCACCTTTTGTACAGTATTTATCAAAGAAACATTACAATCAGATGAAATTGTTAAACTGCAAGAGGTTGCAATTTTTATATAAAGCAACGCCAGTTCTGCAGAAAATATTAAAAGGTGAAAATGGCAGAACTGGGATTATATGCTCCTTAATTACTGCAAACATTGGAAAGAAAGGGGACATAAGCAGGTAATACTGTTATTTTTTTTTCTTTTAAAGGTCAATATTACTAAACTTTTTTTTTCTTTCAATTTTCTTTTACAAGAACATGACACTTTTTCCTGTCATAGGTTGTTAATTTATATTTCCGTCTCCCACTTCTCATCTGTTAGGGATATGACGCTTGTGCTCTTTATTTTCTAATTGATTTGTACAGTTTCTGTATATTTACTGTGACATTTTAAGTTTTTATTTCCAAATCCATTCCCGTAGTTGTATTTTTTAAAAGAATTGTGGCCTGTACGCAGAAGCCAACCACTCCATGTATATATTACCGGAACTAATACCATCCTTATAACAGTTACAATTTCAGCTGAGTATATATATTTTTTTTCAATATGCAGTTTGAAAAATGAATAAATTTTTTGAAATTTGGATACTTGAAATTGTTTGAGTTTTGATTTTTCTTTCTCACTCATTTTGTGTTGGCAGGCTCTCATCTGTCTGTTTATGATTTATTTTTATTTTAAAGCAAATTGAGGATGATTTTTTTTTTGCTACTTTAAAGCCAGTTCCTATTTGCGCTCTTTTTTAGCAGGATGTCAGCACAAATAACCAACTGCTTCAGCATCCCACCGTATTTTCTAATGGCCTCATCAGTAAAAGCGGGAAGGATTTTCCATCCGCAGGTATAGACCGTTATTTCTCTTCTTCTGTAACAGATTTTTCAGAGTTTTGTTGCTGAAGCCGATCAGTTAAACTTCTGCATTTTTAATGTTAACCTCGTTTTAAATGTTTTATATTTCTGCAGTAATGGATGTTATGTTGCTATTCTCAACCAAACCGTTTGAGTTCAAAGTGTGGGCCTGGTTTCGTTCGCAGAGCGTTTCCTGTCTTCATGCTGTAAATCCCAGAGTTGTCTTAACTGGATAACGTTTTAAATTAGCGGTAAATTGAAGGGGAGTCCGCTAAAAAAAAAGACGAAGCCAGGCGGAAAAGCGCTTTTTTCTAATAGCTCCACGCAGATCCTCCGTTTTTAATTTAATGTTTCATCAAACTGCTCCTGCTGTTCCGTTAACCCACCAACACTTTCCTCTGTTTTTATTAAACAAGACGAGGGGAAAAAATCCTGCATGGATCTTAATGTCAAGCTGATCCGAACCAATAATAATAATAATAATAATAATAATAATAATAATAATAATAATAATAATAATAATCCTTATGATGAGCTAACAGCTCGGCCTTAATTTTCCTAACCGCTTTAAATCTGGGGGGAGTGTGTGTGTGTGTGTGTGTGTGTGTGTGTGTGTGTGTGTGTGTGTGTGTGTGTGTGTGTGTGTGTGTGTGTGTGTGTGTGTGTGTGAGGTAGATTAGGGCCG